TATACTAGTCATGGTATTGAAGAGGACCTGCTTTCTCTTTCAATAACTGATGTCCAATCATTAAATAGAATCATTATTGAAAATTACATTATCTAAACTTAAATAACTCATATTAAATGCAAAGTATATATACTACTATGTATAAAATAAATAACTAATGAGCACCTACTATATAGCCCAGGGAGCCCTAGTCAATGTTCTGTGGTGACCTAAATGGAAAGGAAATCCATAAAATAGGGATTATGTGTATATGTATAGCTGACTCACTTTGGTTTACAACAGGAATTAGCACAAAGTTGTAAATTAACTATGCTCCAGTAAACTTTTTAAAAAAAAAGGTAATTAAAAATACATAAAAATTCAAAGCTGTGGTTTTTCTAGCAGTCATGTATGGATGTGAGAGTTGGACCATGAAGAAAGATGAGCACAGAAGAATTGATGCTTTTGAACTGTGGTGTTGAGAAGACTCTTGGGAGTCCCTTGGACTGCAAGCAGATTAAACCTGTCAATCATATAGGAAATCAGTCCTGAAGATTCTTTGGAAGGACTGATGTTGAAGCTGAATCTCCAAACTTTGGCCACCTGATGCAAAGAACTGACTCATTGGAAAAGATCCTGATGCTGGGAAAGACTGAAGGCAAGAGGAGAAGAGGAAGGCAGAGGATGAAATTGTTGGATGGCATCATTGATTCAAAGGACATGAGTTTGAGCAAGCTCCAGGAGTTGGTGATGGACAGGGAAACCTGGCATGATACAGTCCATGAGGTCACAAAGAGTCAGACATGAGTGAGCAACTGAACTGAACTGAATAAAAACACAGAAGTCACCAGTTTTTTTTTTTATTAGTAGTAGTATTGTGAAGCTATTTATACACAGGTCTGTATTTATACACAGATCTGCTACTGCACATCTATGTTAAATTCTGGTATTCAGTAATGTCACAAAGGTAGCTTGCAATCAGCCACACTGGGCATAATTGCATCATAGAAACCACTGAATTATTACAATTAAAAAGACTGACCATATCAAAAGTTGCCATTGATGTGAAATCACTGGAACCATTCTACATTAATGATGGACATAGTACAATTTCTTTGGAAAATGTTATATTTTTATAAGCTGTTTTAAACATATTTTCATCGAATAAGAAAACAGCTTGTGGTAAAATTTATAACCAAAAGTTTGTATTTAATGCATGCAATCTGAAGAGTGTGGACATAAGCCAATAATAACTTCAGCACAACTAAGATGGTAGACATACCCATCACCTTCCAGATCACAACTGAAGTGTTCTTATCACAAAAGAGAGAGAAAAGACAAAAATATATATTTTCTATCTGACCTAGCAATTCTACTCCCAGGTATTTCCTCAAAAGATAAGAAAATATATGTCCACAGAAAGACTTTAACAGAAATATTGATGCTAGTTTTATATATAGTAGCAAAAGTCGGAAACAACTCAATGGGCTAGTGATAAGCAAAACTTTATAAATCCACACAATGGAATACCATGTAGCAGTAATAAAGAATGAACCATTTGTCTGTGCAACCATGTGGATGAAACTCAAAAGCATTATGCCGAGCAAAAGACACTAGACTCACAAAGAATGCATACTGTGTGTTTCTGTTTATACAAAATTCTAAAACCAGCAAAATTTATCTCCATTAATAAGAGGTTAGCGGCTGCCTGCTTCCACAAGGCAGGGAAATGAATTGCAAAGATACATCAGGAAACATTTTGAAGAAATGAAAATGTTTTATATTTTGAGTCAAATTTTATATCTTGAACTTCCTTTGGAACAAAAGTAAATTTCACTCAACCATGGTATTATGGTTTTCGTTTCAGACCACCACAATAAAGTTAAGATTGCCATAAAGCAAATCACACAAATGTTTTGGTTTTCCAGTGCATATAAACTTTATATTTATATGATATTATAGCTTACTAAGTGTGAAATAGTTATGTCCAACAAACGTACGTAGCTTAATTTTTAAATATTTTATTGCTGAAAAATGCTCACCATCTCTGACATACAGGATTGGTACAAACCTTCAACCTGTAAAAAATGCAGTATTCAAAAAGCACAAAAATACAAAGTGTGTCTGTATTTTCCTGTATGTGTTCCTAATAGTCCTATGTATAGAATGCTTTGGTGATGGCATAAGTATAGAGTATGTTCATTTTCCCTCAAACTTTCTGTCTTCTTTCTGTCCCCAAATGGAAACTGTGGAATCCTATACCAAGGTCACAAGTGAGAGGCCTTGTACTAAGGCCACAGACAAGGAGCCCAGCACCAAAGTCATCTCCAGAACTTACTGAGCCCCATAGCAACTGTTGCCATGAATCCCCCTAATCTAAACTGGCCAGCTCCCTGATACCATATTAGGTAAAAATACCCACCCTAACCAGTCACCTAATGACATCCTTCCACAGGAATTTTCTTTGTCTTGAGGCTGTAAAAACTGGCTACTAGCCCAGAAAAGTGTCAGCTCTCCCTTGAGCCGGCCCACTGTCCCAAGAGTGTCTACCATAGTAATAAGCTCTATTCTCCTCTCATTCTGTCTTGTGTCTGGAAACTTTTTCCCAACCACTGCAAAGACCACGGCAGAAACAGTTTTATCTGTCCTTCCTTCTGCATTTTACCTTGCATAATTTCACTTCAGGTGGTGACTGAACTGACCAGCGGAATATCTTTGAGACCACCTGGAAGAGTTTAAGCCTTTACTTCTTATTTTCATCACGCTTTCTTACTCTACTTTCCTCTCTTCTTATTTCCTTCTCCTGCCTCAGTGTCCCTTGTCAGACAGATGTAGTGTTGATCCCAAAGCAGTCACTGGGACACCAGCTGCTTTTCTTTAGTTTTCTGCCTCCTCTTTAATTTTTTAATAAATTTTATTTATTTATTTTGGTTGTGCTGTGTCTTTGTTGCTGCACTGGCTTTTCTCTAGTTACAGTGAGTAGGGACCTCTCTCTAGTTTCCATGTGCGGGCTTTTCATTGTGGTGGCTTCTCTTGTTGCGGGGTATGGGTTCTAGGGCACTCAGGCTTCAGTAGTTACGGATCCCAGGCTCTAGAGCGCAGGCTCAATAATTGTGGTGCTCGGGCTTAGTTGCTCCCCTGTGTGTGGGATCTTCCCAGATCAGGGATCAAACTGTGTCTCCCACACTGGTTGCTGCTGCTTAGCCGCTTCAGTCGTGTCCAACTCTGTGCCACCCTATGGACTACAGCCCGCCAGGCTCCTCTGTCCAGGGATTCTCCAGGCAAGAATACTGGAGTGGGTCGCCATGCCTTCCTCCAGGAGATCTTACCAACCCAGGGATCAAACCCAGGTCTCTTTCAGGCCAAATCTTTACTACGGAGCCACCAGGATTGGCAAGGCAGATTTTTTACCAGTGAGCCACCTAGAAAGCCCTCGTTTTCTTCTTAATGTAAATACATTTGACCCTTCATATTAGAAGCTTTAACACTGGGGAGTCAATCAGTGGTGGATGGGAATCCATGGATGGGGAACTCAGGGTACCCAGGGCATGTGGGAGAGCAGACTGTAAGGAACCTGAGTGTGCTCGGATTCTGGTATCTGTGGCATCCATAGCAGAGAGAGGAGGATCTGGACCGAATTCCCCACAAGTACCAAGAGTCAACTTTATTTAGATATATTGTGGGGAAACAGGATATCATTTGAAAATTCTGATGGGGACAGATGTGAAAAGGAAACCGGAGTTCTGACAATATTGCAACAAAAATAGAAGTGAGCCTTTTCTTAAACAAAAATGAGACTTTTCTTATAAGAAAAGTAAGAAAACAATGAACAGGTAGGAAAACAACAGAAACAGGCCTGAGAGAGTTAGAGCAATCTTGATTATTCTTTAGCTGTTACTACTAACAGACACTTGTAGCTGTACTTGTCCTTCCCAAACCTAAACAAAGTCAATTACTCTCTGACTCTGTATGAATTATACTCTACATCTGGCATTCTTTTCCTCTTGTAACATTTTTCATTTCAGAAAGAAGGCCACAGTCAATAGCTTCAGAAAAGACCAGCCCCAGATATCCAGCTGCCTACCAGCTGTGGCTGTTTTGAAATTTTGCAAAAGAAAATAAAGGAAAACCTTCCTTAGGATACAAAACCTCTGCCTATTTCCCAGAGGCAGGGCACACAGTTCTTGAGGTGCTAGCCTCCTGAGTTTTGCCTTTTGCCTGGCAAAGAATAAAGCTCTTTTCTGTTTCTCCAAAACTTTGTCTCTAATTTTTTGGACATCAGTATACAGAGAGTCAAGATTTTTGTCATCAATAACATTAGCATAATAACATTATCATCGTGAATATTCATGTGGCATTCTGAGTACTTTTTAAACTTTCTTTTTCTCTTTTTCCGTGTGTGTGAGTGTGCACGCATGTGAATATGCACACACACTCTTGTGCAAGCTTCTGCTCAGGATGTTTCTGTTTAAAACAAAATGCTTTTTATTTCAGTTTCAGTAAGCACTTTAAAGCATAGCTCCCTTCTCTTTAATTTCATCATCTTTGAGATGGCCTTTCTTAACGCCTGATAATGAAACCATAACATCCTAAAGCGTGCCCTTAAATGAATTAAAGGGAGTCGTGCGTCACTAGTTATGTGTCACTTTCGTGAGAATTTAAGTGCCACTTGAAGATTTTTGCTTTATGAGTCAGATGATGATCCTTTGTTGAGTAAAGAAGAATATATGTTTTTCTCTTCACTATTTAGCATAACTTCCCTCCTTTCCAGTAATTGTTTTGTGTCTGTTTGCCAGGGAGCAAACTATATAGATAATAGTATGACTCAATCTTCATCACATGATTACTTTCCTTTTGAGAGATCGACTTAAATAAGCTGTCTTTTACTTCAGGGTAGCTTAACTCTAGTTTGGAGTTGTGTTGTAAAAACTTTTTTTTTTTTACATTACAATTAAAACTTTGAAGAGAGAAGTCATCAAGTATGCAGTCAGCTCACAAGGAGGCGAGCAAACAGGAAGCTAATGAAAAGAATTGAGGTAAGAACATTTTCAGTTGTTCAGAATGAAAGCTCTTTACTGAAATTATGAATCATAACTTCATAACAAAAGTTTTGAAAGTCCTGAGTAGGGTTTTGCAGTTTTTTCCATCAAGGCAAAAAAACAAAAAACAAAAAACCCTTTTTTCTGTTAAACTAAAATTGGTAATTGATTATTTTGTCCTTGTAATTCAGATTCACTTTATCTTAATTGATAATGGAGGAAGATTATCCATACTGTAAAATTGTTCAAGATAGGTTCCATTTTTACTAAATATTCAATCAAATCTGTACTTCAAGACATGTTAAATATGAACCATAGCCATTCAATGTCTAGAATACATATGTGATATGAAATAATTGGCAAATATTTGTAATATTTTAAAAGATTGTTTATGGGCCATGAGTAGAGTCAAGATAAACTACTCTTTAGAGGTACTTAATAGCAGAGTGATTATCTCCCTCTTCTATTCTTATCTAAGCAATTGCTGGTACCCTAATATTCTTGAGATGTCTCTGGCAATTTTTAAATGGAGAAGAAAAGAAAATGTACTAAAAAAAAAACCCAACAACACAAAACTTAGAAAACAATTCGGTGACATTGGATGTTTTAAATAGAAAGTTCAGAGTAGGTAAGAGCCAAATTCTAAATCTGTTAGTAACAGGACAATCTTTCAAAGTTTTTTGAACAGGGGTCCTTAAACAGGTAGAAACAGAGTTGAGGAAACGAAGCTAACGTGTATTAAAGAAATTAATCTGTGATTTAGTGATGATGGTAAGTTTTAAAATTTTCCATTTAGCTTTGTTTTAGTCTACCAGTGTTATGGGCTTCCCAGAGGGTGCAAGGGTAAAGAATCTTCCTGTCAGTGCAGGAGATGCGAAAGACTTGGTTTCGATTTCTGGGTCAGGCAGATCCCGTGGAGGAGGAGATGGGAACCCACCTCAATATTTTTGCCTGGAAAATTCCACAAGCCTAGAGGGCTACGGTCCAGGAGCTCACAAAGAGTCAGACACAACTGAACACGAACACATGTCCACCAGCATTATGCAACAGTCAAAAATATTGTTGCAGTTCATATTAGCATGTGTAAATGCTTTATTCCTCATTTTTTTTCACAATTTAATAATTCTAAGGTTAGATCAAAGAAAGTTAGGGGCAATGGGATCAAATATTAGATAACGTGAAAATATCTAAAACAAAGTTTTAAGGGTGTTTTCTACCCACTCATAAAACCAGTGTTAGTTTTTGCTTTATATATCAATAAACAGTGTAAATTTATATATTTTATGTATAAATTTATATGTATCACATAAATATAAAAATTAAATTTTATGTAGTATATATAATATCTACATCTAAATCTAAATGTATCTAAATATCTAAATCTATATGTATTTTGACATTTTAAACACCATTGAAATAGTAATAGTGTGTTATGTAATTCATTTCTAAGCTCTTAATATTTTTAAAAATTTTATTTTCTCTTATTCTTTCTGCATATCGGTATTTTGTGATTTTTTTTCTATAGCTGTGAGCTCGGAAAAAGGGGATTGTATTTGGTTTTAAATTCACTGGTCACCCAGGATCTTTTCTCTTATCTCCTTGGAGGAGATCAGAGTCAGAAACAGAGAAATTAGTTGTCAGTGAAGCTTCTCTATGGGAAAAATGATTGGAACACTTAGCTATTTATATTATAAGAGGGATGAATGTAGAAATATTTTAGTTACATTGTTAATTAAATAGATTTTTATTAAGCTGCCCTGGGATTTTTTTTTTTTTTCCTTCATTGTACACACCAGGCTTCTCCGGTGGCTCAGTGATAAAGAATCTGCCTGCAACGCAGGAGACTCAGATGTGAGTTCGACATTGCGTCAGAAAGATTACCCTGTGAGGGGAGGATGAAGCTCCAGTCGCTGGAAGCTTCGCTCCCTGCCCTTGTGCACACCTCCACCCCCCCTCCCTGCCCCCAGGGCAGCAGGCAGCTTTGGGCCTGTGAGGCTTCCTGTCCAGGAAGGAGGCCAGGGAGGTGGGGTGAGGTGCCCATGGCCCCCTCTCTCCAGGCAAGAGCTGGTCTGGGAGCCCCCAGGGGCCAGGGGTGGAGGGAGCCCCAGTCTCCTGTCTGCAGTTGGAGACTGTGGCCCCGCGAAGCTAGCCCTTCTGTCTCTGGCTCCCTGATCTGCACGGTGACCTCCGACTCTGCCCTTGTGTGGTGATGGTTTTCGTCCGCGGGGACTGCCTGCGTATATGGGACGTCTTGTGGGGGGGCACCCTTTGAGAAGGAGACCCTGCTCTGGGTTCAGGCCTCCCCATTTGCATCGCCCAGACAAATCCCCACTTGGCGTGTGCTTTCGGTTTCTTTGTGTGTTTACTGCACTGCATTGGCTGATATGTTACTAAGTACTTGCTTCCATTTAATGGAAGATATCTTTCTATAGTTGGCTTTTTTTAACAACAATTTTGTGGTAGTGATATTGTAATGTTGGCTTTAGGGATAAATTGGATACATGCATAAATTGGATAAATGTTCTCCCTAGTCTATTTTTAAGAAAGAATTTGAGTGCTATTTGTATTATTTCACACTTAAATGTGGATACAATTCTTCAGTGAAAAAAAAAAAAGAAAGAAAGAAAGAAAGATTAGCCTGGAGGAGGGCACGGCCACCCACTCCAGTATGCTTGTCTGGAGAATTCCCATGGACAGAGGAGCATGCGGGCTACAGTCCATGGGATCGCAAAGAGCCAGACACGACTGAAGTGGCTGAGCATACATTCATTGCACACACTATGAACAACTTCTTTGAAATTCATCTTTCAATACTAACTTCATACTGAGAGACCAACACTTCCTGTTGCTTTTGTCTTTTGTATATTTGTGTAAGTTGCAGGTATTAAGGATTGAGTAAATGAGTAGAAACAAGGAATTTTAAAGATGAAAACTAATTATACTGAGTGTGCAAAACTAGATTTTAAGGCTTAGGGAGTAGGCCGATAAAATAGGGAATAATTGTGTAGCAGATTTAAGTATGTACCTGCATATTCAGAAGTGAAATAAATTTCCAATTCTTTAAGGCTTTAAATCAAACTAAACATCACTCCAAGTTCCTACCTCATTGAGCTGACAGTATATTTAATCTTGGTGGTTATGATATTGAATTGAGTGGGGCATTCCCTGCAGGGTTATATGAACTTTCCCAGATTTTGTAAGACACTGAACTTGAGGTTGAGAGTTTTCAGTTATCTCTTTTCACTGATTACTTAGAAGAATGTATTTGTCATTGCTGTTCTTTAGTCAAGAAGTGGTGTCTGAGTCTTGGGGGATTTTCCAGGTAAGAATACTGGAGTGGGTTGCTATTTAACATTTCCTTCTCCAGGGGATCGTCCTCATTTTCCCCACCCAGGAATCAAACCTGAGTCTCTTGCATCGGCAGGTGAGCCATCAGGGGGGTATTTATATCAACATTCATAACCCCTTTGGTTCTAGTTCTGCTGCCTCTGTGCTAATGTAATGAAAGCCACTCTGTTTGCCACACTTATGACTTGCATCTTTGTTGACACTGGTTTTTTGCAGGTAGCATATCTCCATATGTTCCACAAAGTTGAATGATCTAGTATTTTGCCAACTTTGAGATAGAAATGACTTATATCACTAGTACCCAGAGCATTTCTCATATTAACAGGATATCCACCATCTTCTTGTGGCTTGTAAGTATTTCCTCTTTTTAAAGCTCTTTATGATTCTCAAAATACTCCCTTTAATAAACTAGGATTTTCTTTTCTGCTTTTTTTAACTGAAGGAGTCACTAATTTCACCGATCATTCTGGAGAAAGCGATGGCAAAATAGCTGAAGACCTCCTTGAAAGAATGAATAGAAAAATGATTTTAAAATAATTCTGCTTAATAGAGCAATAAGTAACCTTCAACTCCTACTCATATGGTAATTAAAATATGGAAATACGGGAGTGCTAACACAGGAAGGTGAATAAAAGTTTGACTATCCCTTCTCCAGCAGACCTTCCCCACCTGCTGGAGAGAGGATAGGCTACCCACTCCAATATTCTTGGGCTTCTCTTATGGCTCAGCTGGTATAGAATCTGCCTGCAATGTGGGAGACCTGGGTTCAATCTCTGGGTTGGGAAGATCCCCTGGAGAAGGGAAAGGCTACCCACTCCAGTATTCTGGCCTGGAGAATTCCATGGACTATATAAAGAGTTGGACACGACTGAATGACTTCCATTTTCTTTTATTTAATTCCTGTTATAAGCCAAACCTGAAAACATAGTACATAATATATCCTTTAATTTTAAAAAAGAGAGATGTGAATGGTCGAGGTCTCTTAAGGTCTGTGTTCTGAAGTCCCAGAATGTCACTTCTACCATGCTCTATTGGCCAAAGAGAGACACAAGACCAATTCATTTTTAAGTATTGGGAAATGCAGTATGTACCTCGTGGTAGGAGAAATGGCATGATTGTGCACCAAAGGGGCGTTGGACAGAGAGAGGCATGATTCTTTGGGGCCGTTTTTAACAATTTGTTACAGGTAGGAAGAACAACAAAGTGTTAACTGAAAATATGAGAATATAAAACAGTGGACAAATGATGATCGTACTTGTTTAAAATTACCAGTATTTGGGAGGGAGGTTATATAGCTAATAATGGATTAAAAAGATCTATGTGTGGAGGGATATTAACACGAATGATAACACCAGCTATTTCTAAGGAGGGTAAATTTAGATTTATTTTAAATTTAATTTCTTAGAAGGATTTCCCTGGTAGTTCAGTGGTTTAGACTCCAGGCTCCCAAGGCAGGTGGTTCAGATTCAATCCCTGGCCAAGGAACTAAGATTCCACGTGCCGCATGGTACAGTAAAAAAGATTAAAAATAATTATTTCTTTTATATATCCACTAAGGAAAAAATTTATCCAACAAAAAAAGCAACTAATTCTTCACTAAGTGAAAAAGACAGGGAGAATCAATTTTGTCAATAATTTTATTATCTATCTTAAAGTATCTGCTATAATTTTTTACATTTCATGAAATTTTACATTAAGGATAAATATTTTATAATCACATGAAATAATAAAAAGTTTCATTTCAAGAAACTTGCATACAAATTCTATTTTTCTCCTAAATGACCACTAACAAAAGAAAAACAATTCCTCACAAAAATTTGTTCTGTTCTACTGAATTTGTAGATTGGGAAATACAGAACTAGAAAAAAAAAGTGACTCATCCAAGTTCCCTTGTTAGTGGTCAAAATCTCAATTCTAAATTTTTTGATTGATTGTTCTGTGGCCTTTCAAGTATACTATACTGTCTATCCTTTAAAATTAAACTTCTTATTAGTTATAAAGTAGACTTTCTTAGAAATATTCAAGGAATGTTAGGATGTGCTGATATTTCACCATAGAAGGGTGTTGAAGGTCTGGGGGTGGCTTCAGGCTTGAGGAAATTAGACTAGAAAAGTCATATATCATATATTTGATCCTTTGGGCTGTGGCAGTAAAGTTCATAGTAACATCTGGATTTGATAAAAGGTTCTCATGAGGAATTTCAGCAAAAAGGATAAATCATGTTTCTTTTTTTTTTTTCACTTGACAAACAGAGAAAGTACATTTTGTGTCATCTCCTTGTGAAATATTAGCGTAAAGAAGTTTGTCAGGTATGGTTTTGAATGCAAATTAGGTCTTTCTTTTACCTGTTTCTTAATCTAAGTGGTGTTTTGTTTTGTTTCAGATATTAAAGACAAGCAGTCCAAGCAGTATGTTGGAGACAAGCACTAAAATACTTATTTTTGCATTAGCAATATCTGTAGTTATTAATATTGTTTTAATAAGTATTGATATACATTTTTCAGGTGAGTAAATTACATCTTGTTATTTCTTAAATTATACTTTGTTTTCAGAGCTTCCTAATGTATGATACTTTTCCTTTCTGCCTCAGTCATAATCTTTTCTCATTATTCTCACTCCCTTCCCATTATCCATGATATATATGAGTTCAGTTCAGTTCAGCTCAGTTGCTCAGTCATGTCTGACTCTTTGCGACCCCATGAATCGCAGCACGCCAGGCCTCCCTGTCCATCACCAACTCAAACCCATGTCCATCGAGTCGGTGATGCCATCTAAACATCTCATCCTCTGTCATCCCCTTCTCCTCCTGCCCCCAATCCCTCTCAGCATCAGGGTCTTTGTCAATGAGTCAACTCTTCTCATGAGGTGGCCAAAGTACTGGAGTTTCAGCTTCAGCATCAGTCCTTCCAATGAACACCCAGGACTGATGTCCTTTAAGATGGACTGGTTGGATCTCCTTGCAGTCCAAGGGACTCTCAAGAATCTTCTCCAACACCACAGTTCAAACGCATCAATTTTTTGGTGCTCAGCTTTCTTCACAGTCCAACTCTCACATCTATACATGACCGCTGGAAAAACCTTAGCCTTGACCAGATGGACCTTTGTTGGCAAAGTAATGTCTCTCCTTTTTAATATACTATCTAGGGTGGTCATAACTCTCCTTCCAAGGAGTAAGCATCTTTTAATTTCATGCCTGCAATCGCCATCTGCAGTGATTTTGGAGCCCAAAAAAATAAAGTCTGACACTGTTTCCACTGTCTCCACATCTGTTTCCCATGAAGTGATGGGACCAGATGCCATAGTTTTCTGAATGTTAAACTTTAAGCCAACTTTTTCACTCTCTTCTTTAACTTTCATCAAGAGGCTTTTTAGTTCCTCTTCACTTTCTGCCATAAGGGTGGTATCATCTGCATATCTGAGGTTATTGATATTTTTCCTGGCAATCTTGATTGCAGCTTGTGCTTCTTCCAGCCCATCGTTTCTCATGATGTACTCTGCATAGAAGTTAAATAAGCAGGGTGACAATATACAGCCTTGACGTACTCCTTTTCTTATTTGGAACCAGTCTGTTGTTCCACGTCCAGTTCTAACTGTTGCTTCCTGACCTGCATACAGAACTCTCAAGAGTCAGGTCAGGTGGTCTGGTATTGCCATCTCTTTCAGAATTTTCCACAGTTTTTTATGATCCACACAGTCGAAGGCTTTGGTGTAGTCAATAAAGAAGAAATAGATGTTTTTCTGGAACTCTCTTGCTTTTTCAATTATCCAGCAGATGTTGGCAATTTGATCTCTCATTCCTCTGCCTTTTCTAAAACCAGCTTGAACATCTGGAAGTTCACGGTTCATGTATGACTGAAGCCTGGCTTGGAGAATTTTGAGCATTACTTTACTAGCGTGTGAGATGAGTGCAACTGTGCGCTAGGTTGAGTATTCTTTCGGATTGCCTTTCTTAGGTATTGGAATGAAAACTGACCTTTTCCAGTCCTGTGGCCACTGCTGAGTTTCCCAAATTTGCCAGCATATTGAGTGCAGCACTTTCACAGCATCATCTTTCAGGATTTGAAATAGCTCAACTGGAATTCCATCACATCCAGTAGCTTTGTTCATAGTGACGCTTTCTAAGTAATGTGATGCTTTGTTCATAGTGATGCTTTCTAAGTAATGCTTCAGTAACTCTGAAGAAGCTGAAGTTGAACGGTTCTATAAAGACTTACAAGACCTTTTAGAACTAACTCCCAAAAAAGATGTCCTTTTCATTGTAGGGGACTGGAATGAAAAAGTAGGAAGTCAAGAAACACCTGGAGTAACAGGCAAATTTGGCCTTGGAACGCACTGGTCATAGCAAACACCCTCTTCCAACAACACAAGAGAAGACTCTACAAATGGACATCACCAGATGGTCAACACTGAAATCAGATTGATTATATTCTTGGCAGCCAAAGATGGAGAAGCTCTATACAGTCAGCAAAAACAAGACCAGGGGCTGACTGTGGCTCAGATCATGAACTCCTTATTGCCAAATTCAGACTTAAACTGAAGAAAGTAGTGAGAACCACTAGACCATTCAGGTATGACCTAAATCAAATCCCTTATAACAATACAGTGGAAGTGAGAAATAGATTTAAGGGGCTAGATCTGATAGACAGAGTGCCTGATGAACAATGGACCGAGGTTCATGACATTATACAGGAGACAGGGATCAAGACCATCCCCATGGAAAAGAAATGCAAAAAGGCAAAATGGTTGTCTGAGGAGGCCTTACAAATAGCTGTGAAAAGAAGAGAAATGAAAAGCAAAGAGAAAAGGAAAGATATAAGCATCTGAATGCAGAGTTCCAAAGAATAGCAAGGAGAGATAAGAAAGCCTTCCTTAGCAATCAATGCAAAGAAATAGAGGAAAACAACAGAATGGGAAAGACTAGAGATCTCTTCAAGAAAATTAGAGATATCAAGGGAACATGTCACACAAAGATTGGTTCGATAAAGGACAGAAATGGTATGGACCTAACAGAAGCAGAAGATTTTAAGAAGAGGTGGCAAAAATACACAGAATAACTGTACAAAAAAGATCTTCACGACCCAGAAAACCACAATGGTGTGATCACTCGCCTAGAGCCAGACATCTTGGAATGTGAAGTCAAGTGGGCCTTAGAAAGCATCACCATAATATATATAATGGGTATCAATGAATGAATGCTTATGAATTATACAATATACATTAAGGCATAGGGAGATGTAAAGATGATTATGACAAAATCTTTCACCCTGATAATCTGAGCGACTGAGCTGAACTGATACTTAGGTCAGTTTTTGTAGATAATACCACAGATAGTAGATAAGCCAACCAAAAGATTATGCAAATGTCTATTGCTCAAGAATTTTGTCAATGATTTGTTGTCAGCTTTATCCAATTTAGTCATTCTTTCTTACTTTTTAAAATTTTATTCACTTATTTGTTGGCTGTGCTGGGTCTTCGTTGTTGCATGTAGGTTTTCTCTAGTTGCAGTGTGGGACCTTCTCATTGTGGCTTCTCTTGTGGCAAAGCACAGGGGGGCTCAGTAGCTGTGGTACACAGGTTTAGTTGCCTCGAGGCATGTGGAATCTTCCTGGGTCAGGGATCAAACCAATGTTCCCTACATCAGCAGGTGGATTCTTAACCATTGGATCACCAGGGAAGTCCCATTTTAGCCATTCTGATGAGTGTGTGTTGGTACATTTGTTGGTAACTATTGCAACTTTAATTGGCATTCTCTTGATGACGAATACTGTTAAGGTCCTTTTCACATTTTGTTGCTCAGTCACTCGGTCGTGTCCAACTCTTTGCAACCCCATGGACTGCGGCATGTCAGGCTTCCCTGTCCTTTATCATCTCCCAGAGCTTGCTCAAATTCATGTCCATTGAGTCGGTGATGCCATCCAACCATCTTCATCCTCTGTCATCACCATCTCCTCCTGCCTTCAATCTTTCCCTGCATCAGGGTCATTTCCAATGAGTCATCTTCGCATCAGGTGGCCAAAGTATTGGCGCTTCAGCCACAGCATCAGTCCCTCCAATGAATACTCAGGATTGTTTTCCTTTAGGAAATTCTTTTCACAGTTACTGCTTTTCACATTTACTACTCATTTAACTGCAATATTTTGTGAAGGAATATCCTTACCTTGTACCTGATTCTAGAGGGAAAACCTCTAATTTTTCACTATTAAATAAGAAATTAGCTGTAGGGTTTGTTTGTTTGTTTGTTTGGTAAATAGTCTATCAGGTTGGCATAGCTCCCCTCTATTCCTAGTTTACTGAGAATTTTTGCTGTGAATGAGTGTTAAATTTTTCAGATGCTCATATTGATATGATCATGTGATTTTTCTTTTTTAGCCTGTTGATAAGATGGATTATATTAATGGATTTTCAAATATTGAATCATCCTTGCAGACCTGGGATAAATCCTACTTTTTCATAGTGTGTAGTTCTCTGTACACTGTTAGATTTGTCTTACCAACATTTTGATAAGAATTTTTGGACCTATGCCCATGAGAGATATTGGTCTCTAGTTTTCTCTCTCTCTCTTTTTTTTTAATGTCTTTGGTTTTGTGGTTAAGATAATGCTGGCCTCATGTAATGAGTTAAGATGCATTCCCTTTGATTTTATACTTTAAAAGAGGTTGTCAACAATTGCTGTTTTCTTCCTCAGTTGTTTGGCAGTGAACACATCTGATCCTGTTGCTTTGTGTTTTAGAACATTACTGATTATTAATCAATTTCTATAATAGATATGAGCCTATTTACATTGTTTATTTCTTCTTATGTGAGTTTTGGAAGATTGCATCTTTCAAGGAATTGGTCCATTTTATTTAAGTCATTAAGCTTGTGGGTATTAACTTGTTCATAGTATTCCTTTATTATCTTTTGTGGCATGTGTAGTGATGTTGTCTCTTCTATTTCTGACATGATTAATTTATCTCTCCTTTATTTTCTAAGTTAACTTGTCTAGAGGCTTAGTGATTTTATTGTTCTTTGCAAAGAAAGGGCTTTTTGCTTTTGTTGACTTTCTCTATTAATTTTCTGTTTTAGTTTAATTGTTTTTTGCTCTGTGATTCTTATTATTTCTGCTCTGTTTTTCTTGGGTTTAATTTTCACTTCTTTTCCTAGTTTCCTAAGGAAGGCATGTAGATTGCTGATTTTAAAACTTTCTTGTTTTCTAATGTATAAATTCAGTGCTATTTATTTTTTTCTAAGGACTGCTTTTGCTTCTTCCCATCAATTTTGAGGAGTTGTGTTTTCATGTTTGTTTAATTCAAATTGCTTTTAAAATTCTTTGTATTTCATTTTTGACCCAGGTGTTAATAGTGTATTCTTTCATCTCTACATATTTTGGGGATTTCCAATTATCTTTCTGTTATTTATTTCTATTTTAGTTCCACTGTGGTCAGAGAACATAATTAATTTTTCTTTAGATTTTGTTAGTGTTAATAGCTATGTTAACTATTAATTTTAATATTTTATCTTCATTTTCATTTTTATGTTTATGTAAGCATTCAGATTATATGCAAATAATAGTGGTTTTATTTATTCTATTGAAATCTTTATATCTTTTTATATATTTATATTGCCTCATTTCACTGGCTAATACTTCCAGTAAGACATTGAGAACTAGTGAGAACTTGCATCTTTATCTCATTCTTAATATACATAAGAAAGTTTTAAATATTTCTCTACAAAGAATGATTATTTATGGCTATTCTTAATCAAATAAAGATTATTTGATTATTCTTAATTAAATAATTCCTAGATAGCCAAAGAGTTTTATTCTAAAAGGACATAAAATGTTATCAAGTACTATTGAGAAATGCTTAGTTTGTCTCTTCTTTCTGTTAATGTGTTGAATTACACAGAGTTTTACAAAATGTTAAAATAAACCTTCCTATCTGGAGTAAACTCAATTTGACCATAAAATATTAACCTTTGTAACATTCTTAAATTAACCTGGCTAATATTTTGTTACGATAATATGTGCATATGCTCATGCAAGGCTGAACTATAATTTCCCATTTTGATAACAGTGTTGTCAGCAATACTGAAATTATGTGAAAGTGTTAGGTGCTCAATCGTGTCAGATTCTTTCCAACCTCATGGACTGTAACCCACCAGGCTACTCTGTCCATGGGCTTCTCCAGCCCAGAATACTGGAGTGGGTTGCCATTCCCTTCTCCAGGGGATCTTCCCAACACAGGGGTCAAACCCAGTTCTCCCACGCTGCAGGCAGATTCTTCATCTGAGCCAACAAGATTATGCTAGCCTCTAAAACGGAGCTGTAAAAGATTCCTTCCTATTCTGTTTTCTGAAAAAGATTGGGTAACATAGCTATGTCCTACCTAAATGATTAGATGTGTTCACATCCAAAGCCACCTGGACTGGGAGATTTCTTTGTGTGGAATTTTTTTTATTAAAAGTTTAATTTCTTCACTACACAGAGTATTTATTCACATTTACCTTTCCTTTCTCAGTTTTGCTGTGTTGTCCAGAAATTTCTCTTTTATTCCTAGTATTGCTAATTTGTCTACTTCCCTTTAAAAAGGTGTTTTTCTTTTTTCAGCTAATGTTCTATCTATTCTAGATTATTCAAAAAGCCAACAATGAGTTTCTTGACTTTTTTGCTTTAATATTAGTTTCTATTCAATTGCTTTCTGGTCTTACTTTTTAATGGAGTCTTTCTACTTTTTACATTTAATTTATCACTCTAATTGTTTGAGATAGCTAATTAAAAAAACATAAATTTAAACCAATAAATTTTCCTCTAAGATTAAAGGAAATGTACTGTGTGGTTCAGTGGTTAGGATGCCATGCTTTCATTGCTGAGAGTCCGGGTTCTATCCCTTGTCGGGGAACTAAGCTCCCACAAGCCACATGGCATGGCCAAAACTAAAAGAGAAAGACCCACAAGCTTAGTTGTATCCATAATTTTTAATATGATATATATAACGTATATGAAAAGATATGTAATTACCTTTCATTTAAAGCACATTGTATTTCCCAAGATTTCTTTTTTTTTTTTCCCCTTTGATTCATGAACTGTTTAGCATTGTGCTTCTTAATTTACAGACTTTGGTGATTTTTTTAAAAAATTTTTTATTGGAATATGGCTCAATTTTACTACAGTCAGCTGGCACACTGTTAATGTTTTCAACCTTTTAAAATCTGTTGTTAAAACTTAATTGTCCCACATTTTAGTAAATGTTTTGCATGCTTTTTTAAGAATGTATATTCTGTAGTTGCTGCTTTTAGCTCTGGGTGTATGTCAACTCAATTTTGTTACTTATGGTGTTCAAATGTTATTATTCTTAGACATTTAGACATGGGCTTCCCTGATAGCTCAGTTGGTTAAGAATCTGCCTGCGAGGCAAGAGACCCCGGTTCAATTCCTGCATCAGGAAGATCCGCTGGGGAAGGGATAGGCTATCCACTGCAGAATTCTTGGTCTTCCCTTGTGGCTCAGCTGGTTAAAAATCCGCCTGCAAGGCAGGAGACCTGGGTTCGATCCGTGGGTTGGGAACATCCCTTGGAAAAGGGAATGGCTACCCATTCCAGTATTCTGGCCTAGAAAAATCCATGGCCTGTATAGTCCATGGGGTCGCAAAGAGTCACATACAACTGAGCGACTTTCACTTTCACTTAGACGTTTGGACCATTGCTTTATCAGTATTTAAGAGAAGGGTGCTAAAATGTTTACCATCTACAGGTACCTGTATGGTATGAGGTGCTTAGGAGTGATAATTTAACTAGTAGTTTTACCTCTATGCACCATAGATCACCAGCATTCCATTTACAACTGGTGACTGGGTCAATGCCTTTAATGCAGATCACATTGGAAAACCAATAGCATATCTCATCCTTAAGGTTCTGTTCCCTTAGAACCACTTTTGATACCAAAAACTGATTCAGTCTGGGAGTGTTCAGAAAAGTAGATGGCACAAATATTACAAGAATACAACTTTATTTTATTTTATTTCTACCATTTCTATATATTTCAAAATCATCACCACAATACAACTAGTTACTATAGAAAAGATTTTAATGTAAGAACTATGCATGACACAGTTGGAAGGAATTGTGAAGAGATGATATGGAAGGCTAAAGAGGAAATAGTCACTAATGATTTTGGCTTAAAGCACTAGTATGTTTGGAGAAACCCAGGTGCGGAAAGTCTAGAAACATCTAACTGCAGCAACTACAAAAGGAAACTCATGAAAAGGCTTGTAAACTTCCTATGCACAATGCCTCCAACAATAATGAATTCTGCTTCATTTTCATCTTCTAAAGTTCATTATGTGTTCTTTCGGTTGATTAACCTGGAACCACACAATGATGGTGGTATCTAGTTACAACTGGAAACCGAGTACATGTCTTGTTAGTTATATAGTGTTTTATTATTTTTATTGCTTTCTTAGAGATTAAAATCTGTCCTAGATTTATAACAGTCTAAAATAAATCGGTTTTTTAGTACCACCTGATTTTGTTATATTTTATTAAACTGGAAATGACAAAAGTGACTTAACATGTGTGAAATCACATTGACTGCTCTAGGAAGGCCTATGAATCAGTGAGTTTGGAGTTGAAAGCAATGTGAGTGTCCTCTCATATTCTGAACTGTTCTCATATAACCTAACATGAAGTCGATTTTCAACTGGCTATGGGATAGACATGCAATTCTGGCCATAAGCATCATCTTTTTTGTCACAATCCCGTCCTTCTTCAGTGATCTCAAAACACAGTGACATTATTTCATCTGATTCCTAAAATATGTATTTATCTCTGCTCTAGATAAAGAAGATAAGGGTGTTCGGTATTTCTGCTCAGATAATTGGATTGGTTTCCAAGATAAATGCTACTATTTTTCTGAAGAAGAACAAGATTGGAATTCAAGTAGATACAACTGTTTGTCTCAAAATGCTAACCTAGTTTTGATTACCACTACAAAAGAAAAAGTAAGTAATTTAATATGCATTCCTTATCAATTGCATTAAGTAGAGATACTGGAAGTATTCAAATTCCATTATGGTCTTTAAAGCATTTCAAACATGCCTGTTTATATATGCAAAATGTCGAAGAAGTTTAGAACATGCCACAGGAGATACAATTGAAAAAGCTAGTGATATTTTGTTTGGATAGTTTAAGACTCTAATCAAGTTGTAGACTTGATAGCTAGCTTTTCCATTTTAAGGAATAACAATAGAAGAGCTTTACACTATTTGGAAAACTTTTAAAACCCTTGAAGAAGAAGGATGGAATTCTCCATTTCACTTCCTTGGTGGAAATTTCCTCTGGCTAATCAATCTTGCTTTCCTGTCTTTCTCCGAGATTTCATGGCAGCCTCTGTCAGAGTGCTCACTATCAACAATGCAATAGATGTAATTGAAAGTTTCCCTCTAGGCTGAAGTTATGAGTTTCCAGTGGCCAGATCGCCACCATATTTTATCTGAAATTGTATCCATTGCTGTAGTATATAGGCAGGTACAAATAAAAAGGTTAATGAATCTTTGTTCAAAAAACACTGGTGGAAAAGTGCAATAAATAAAGAGAATCTCCAAGAGCTTTAACAAGCATGAGACTCTGTACCTCTGCACTTATGAAATCTGTTCTTTCCCTGGATGACTTATGTGACAAGTATATTTTTTACTTTTGCTCCGTTTCTTTAAAAGTAAAGGGTCAATTTAAAAGGTAATTAACTTCATTAAAATTTGTGTGTGTTCTTCCCAGATGACTCAGTGGTAAAGAATCTGCCTGCCAAAGCGGGAGATGAAGGAGAGGGCGGTTCCATCCCTGAGTCAGAACAATCCCCTGGAGGAGGAAATGGCAACCCACTTCAGTATTCTTGCCTGGGAAATTCCACGGATGGAGGAGCCTGGCGGGCTGCAGTCCATGGTTCTGCAAAGAGTAGGACATGATTGAGTGATTAAAGCAGTAATACAAGATTGTTTAAATGTACAGCAGCACAGTTGTCAACATTGTTAAAAGAACTGTGTATTACTTTCAAGGTAAACAATGTACAGTTTTGCAATCTGCCTGACTGGTTCAAATTTAAATAGATACAAACAGCTGCTGCTGCTGCTGCTAAGTCGCCAGTCGTGTCCGACTCTGTGCGACCCCATGGACTGCAGCCCACCAGGCTCCCCCGTCCCTGGGATTCTCCGGGCAAGAACACTGGAGTAGATTGCCATTTCCTTCTCCAATGCATGAAAGTGAAGTGAAAGTGAAGTCGCTCAGTCGTGTCCGACTCTTAGCGACCCCATGGACTGCAGCCTACCAGGCTCATCTGTCCATGGGATTTTCCAGACGAGAGGACTCGAGTGGGCTGCCATCGCCTTCTCCGAGATACAAACTAGGCTGGGGCAATTTATAGATCAGTGTAAGGAAACTAAGCCATTTTGGATGCAAGAAAAGACAGAGAAACCTGAACAAAATGTGAAAAACTAGATATGTTAAGAGTAGACATACCAAGTCAAAAAGTAAGATGCAGGCTTAATTTAATACAAAGAGCTTCTGTAGCAAATGGTTTCACTGCTGAATTCAACAAGACTCTTGATATGAACATTCTGAGAAATCCTTAAACAGCCTTACAATTCCTTTTGGGGAAAAAGCCTAACAAAGCAGCAAGATGGAAAAAAAAAACAAACAAGTGACAAATAGAATGAGGTTGTTATTGCATATGGTATCTGTGAAGAAGTAATGAAAGAAACTATAAAAGAATTTTAAAAGGCTATTTTTAAATGGTTTAATTAAAATATTACAAATGTTTATTTAAATTGCAAAGTATTCTCTTAGTTAAAATGAGATGAAGCTTGCTTCATGAAAATTTCCCCCTATTTATTTGCACCTATTTAGAATTACCTTGTCTTTTTTTTTTTCATTTATTTTTATTAGTTAAAGGCTAATTACTTTACAATATTGTAGTGGTTTTTGCCATACCTTGTCTTTTTAACAAGCAGCTCCATGAGTTACTCTTTATTAGGCAAATAATGTTCAATATTTTTCATAGGACATTTCCCTGTACCTTGTCATTTCCCAGTTCCCTATCATCAAAAACACAGCTCCACATCTTCATCCAATTTTTCCAGCTATTCAGTGCAATATATCCTGTTGATTTACAATACATACAGCCTGTCTAGCTTGTTTTTTTCTGCCTTAAAACAAGCTCTTTCCTAAGCCTAGAACATGAATTGTCCTTTTCTCCCTGGATTCTGTATTTGTCATGGAATCTTTTACTCTTTCCAGATACGCCTCTTACAGTGCATCCTATGTGAACAGTCTCCCATAAAGACTGGGATGCTTCTTCTATAAACTAAAATTTCACTCTGTATTTATTATACTCATAATCTTCTCATTTAGTAGAATGTTTTCTAACTTGAAGTTTGCATGGATTTGCTCACTCTACAGGAAACCCTGTGAATCCAGGAACACTGTTTTCTTAATAGATTCCTTTGTAAACCCATAGCTTATCTCAGAGAATTGGATTTTTTTTTTTCAAATAAATTCATGAAATGCTATAGAAGATGGTATATTAAAATGCCAAGGTTAAACTGAACAGACATTTCTCCAAGGAAGACATACAGATGGCTAACAAACACATGAAAAGATGCTCAACATCACTCATTATCAGAGAAATGCAAATCAAAACCACAATGAGGTACCATTACACACCAGTCAGGATGGCTGCTATCCAAAAGTCTACAAGCAATAAATGCTGGAGAGGGTGTGGAGAAAAGGGAACCCTCTTACATTGTTGGTGGGAATGCAAATTAGTACAGCCACTATGGAAAACAGTGTGGAGATTTCTTAAAAAGCTGGAAATAGAACTGCCATATGACCCAGCAATCCCACTTCTGGGCATACACACCGAGGAAACCAGATCTGAAAGAGACACATGCACCCCAATGTTCATCGCAGCACTGTTTATAATAGCCAGGACATGGAAGCAACCTAGATGCCCATCAGCAGACAAATGGATGAGGAAGCTGTGGTACATTTACACCATGGAATATTACTCAGCCATTAAAAAGAATTCATTTGAATCAGTTCTAATGAGATGGATGAAACTGGAGCCCATTATACAGAGCGAAGTAAGCCAGAAAGATAAAGACCATTACAGTATACTAACACATATATATGGAATTTAGAAAGATGGTAACGATAACCCTATATGCAAAACAGAAAAAGAGACTCCGATGTATAGAACAGACTTGTGGACTCTGGGAGAAGGCGAGGGTGGGATGTTTCAAGAGAACAGCATCAAAACATGTATATTATCTAGGGTGAAACAGATCACCAGCCCAGGTTGGGTGCATGAGACAAGTGCTCGGGCCTGGTGCACTGTGAAGACCCAGAGGGATCGGGTGGAGAGGGAGGTGGGAGGGGGGACCGGGATGGGGAATACATGTAAATCCATGGCTAATTCATTTCAATGTATGACAAAAACCACTGCAATGATGTAAAGTAATTAGCCTCCAACTAATAAAAATAAATGGAAAAAAAAAAATGCCAAGGTTATTGGCATCACTGTTACCAGGTAGGAACGGACCACAATGTTGTTATCTGTCATAACTCCTTTGTATTTATATAAAACTGAAATGTGGAGTGATACAAAGTCAAGTTTATGGTTTTGCAACTATTTTGGGGCAGGTAGACTCAGTGACTTTCTGTGTAGAACATAATTTTATGGCACGAAAGTGTCTAAGGTAGGAAAAATTTTCAACATCAAATGAATAAGGAGAAATATCAGAAAAAAATAAAAATTTCCCCCCGAATGATGTCTTTAGAAATGTAAATAGTTGGTAAAAAAAAAAAAATTGAAATTTGGGAATTAGGTTCTAAAGGAACTGGATACATGAAAGAGGTGTGTGTTTGGGTGTGCAAATGTGATAATTAGAAGAAATATTGAAGTAAAATGTTGCATTAAATTCAATATACTAATATTTACTGGGAAGTAAAAACAAAACATAATACATATCTGATGATTAGGAAGTCTGTGTAAGAACTCAGTTGAAAAGTCTAGCTTTCTAGGAGTTCACGGACTAAAAATCTTGGAGGAATAGAGTTTCATACTGAATATTTATCAATTTGGAATCAAAAGTGTCTTAAAGAAAATTTCTCTGACAAATTTCTCTCTTTGTTTCATAAATGAGAAAATTGAGGGTCAGAAGGTAAAATACTTTTTCACAATCACATAGCTATTTTCCAGTGAAACTAGGATTTGAAGCTTTGTCACCTTTCTTCTCACAACCTGCAAAGCAAGAAGAACACAATAAGTTGTAGTGACAACTGACAAGTAAAATTATGAATTTTATTTTGTCTCTAAAGCATTTTCTTAAGCGGTTCAAGTGCACTTCTGATCACTGGATTTGGCGAGACATGACAGAAAATCTAACGGGACAATGGGTGGATGAAAACATATTTAACAAAGGGTGAGTGTCTTTTTTCTGGGATTATTTAAGTTTAGATAGTGCAGCTTTCTGGGCTTCTCTGGTAGCTCAGCTGGTAAAGAATTCATCTGCAATGCAGGTGACCCAGGTTCAATTCCTGGGTTGGAAATTTCTCCTGGAGAAGGGATAAGCTACCCACTCCAGTGTTCTTGGGCTTCCCTGGTGGTTCAGTTGGTAAAGAATTCGCCTGCAATGCAGGAGACCTGGGTTTGATCCCTGGGTTGGGCAGATTCCCTGGAGGAAGGCATGGCAACCCAATCTAGTATTCTTGCCTGGAGAATTCCCATGGACAGAGGAGCCTAGTGGGCTACAATCCATGGGGTTGCAGAGTCGGACGCAACCGAGTGACTAAGCACACACACAGATTGCAGCCTTCTAGAACCTGTACATTAGTATATTTCTGTACAGTCCTTGATTGGTCTGCATGTTGGAAAAGTGGAGTAAGGATTAGTGTATCATGTATTGACTGGTTTCAAGAGGCAACCAGAGAGGTTGGAAATCAAGATATAAGAGAAAAACAAATATTGTATGTTAACACATATATATGGAATCTAGACAAATGGTCCTGATGAATCTATTTGCAGGGCAAGAGAGACACAGACGTAGACAATGGACTTGTGGACATAGCAGTGGAAGGAAAGGTGGGAACAAATTGAGAGAGTTGCATTACGGTTTACCCTCTGAGCCACAGTGGGCCTATAGATACACTACCATGTGTAAAATAGATAGCTAGTGGGAGGCTGCTATATAACAGAGAGCTTAGTTCAGTCCTCTGTGATGATCTAGATGGATGGAATAGGAGGTGGGAGGGTGGCTAAAGAGGAAGGGAATATATGTATACATATAGTTGATTCACGATGTTGTAAAGCAAAAAATAACACAACATTGCAAAGCAATTATATTTCAATTTAAAAATGAAAAAAAAGCTATAAGGGAAAAGACCTCTTAGTTGGTTACTTTGAAAGTAAAGACCTGAGATTCACATACACAATAAAAGACTTTTTCATGATTTTACCCTATTTTCTCTAATCTTATATCTATTTCACAAACTTCACGCTGTTTGCTGACAAGTTTCACAGTTCAAGGTAAATTTGTTTATTTTAACCTGCTTTTATTTGCACTGATAGTTGCAATTTAACCTGGGCTTCATACCTTCTATTTTACAACATGGAGAATTGGACCTAAAAAGTTGAGTGGAGCACTTTCTTGTGCATAATAGGATGTTGGCAACATCTCTGGCCTCTACTCATGAGACAGTAGCAATTCCCCCTGCTCCGCTCCACTTGAGGCAACCAAAAATGTCTTCAGATACTTCCAAATGTCCTTTGCAAGGACTGGTGGAAGGCAAACTCACCCCAGGGTTAAGAACCATTGGTTTCTACAAATTGACGACTCTACCTATAACGTGTAACTTAGTTTAACAAATACAGATTCTTGGGAGGGAGACTCCTTTGGTCCAATTTGGTACAGACATCTTAACCCTAGCAAGAAAGGACTGTGTAACAGCATACTTTTTCAGAGCTCTAGACAGATAATATTTTTTCAAAAGGTGTCACTGACCAAGAGAGAAGTCACAGGACTCCCTAATGCATACTGTTTGATTCCTTTATTGTAGGATTAATATGACAGGGAATGAAATATGTTTTTACCTTAATGAAGATGGTGTTGCAACAGCTAGATGCTACACGGAGAGGAAATGGATTTGCAGGAAAAAAGTGCCCTAAATCAGTTTCCGACAGTGGACTTGACATCCAGGAGTAAGATGGTTTTAATACTTATCAACTTTTTCCCTTTCCCTTTGTTGAAATCTCAACATTTCACTGCTTTAATATTATAGCCTGATGACACAGCTGGATGATTGTGAAAGTAATTTTCTTATTAGTTTTCTACTTTTTAAATGGTCTGGATCTTTGCTTATCTATATCAATTTTAGAAGAATCATGCATTTTACACAATCTTTAGGTTAATTTAGGTTGTATTTATATATTATTTTCTTATTCATTTACAATGTGTTTCTTGTATAGATTTTTGTCTTACATAACTTACAATTTTTCTAAACAGTTACTGCATAGTATTTATTATATGTGTCTATTATATGTATCTATTGCTTTTGCAATTATATACTTTTATTATCTTTTAAAATAGTTGTTTTTATTAGCAAGGTAACTCTTTTGGGTATTCTTGTTCTGTTCAACATACTTTCTGACAATTCATAATTTTCTAATAATTTGTGGATTCATTTAAATACTGGAAAACATAACATCTACTAGTAACAATTTTATTTTTCCTATATTGTAAAAACTAATTATTTCTTGTATAGTTAAAATGGGTGGAATTTCCAGCACAATATTGATAGTAAAAATTGTTCCACATTTTAAAGAAAATGCTTCTGATATGTTAACATTAGTCGTGTTGTATCTAGTTTTTTATAGACTTTTCTTAAAAGTTAGCTTGGTTCTTTTCTATTTCTATTTGTTAAGAGTTTTTTTTGTAGGAAGAAACTTCATTTTCTTGTATGCTTTTTATTGCTGCATCTGTTTCAATCTTGTCATGGTTTCTATTCCTATTCTTTTAATGTATTGAATGACATTTTAAATTTTCTATTGTTAAGAGACTGCTTTACATTCCTAAATAAAATTCAATTTGCTCATTATGTGATATCCCATTTATTTTAGATATATTCATTTTGATATTTATTTTTTAACACTCTTGAGTGTGATTACCCTAAAATTTTCCTTAGGAAAGCAGGGATTATAGTTTGAATAATTTAGTGATGACATGGTTGAAAATGTGCTGCTTTAAATTATGCTATAAAATTGTGAATAATAAATTTCATTTGTCTTGAAAATTCATTCCTACTCACATTTTCTGCATATATATATATATTTTTTAGATATGCACTCGTGATCTTCACTGAAGAGCAGTAGCAGCCTTTGAGAGAGCTGCTAGAAGAGTACTCATGGACATCATGACATAATGATGTCACCAACGTTGAAGACTGGTGCTAGAGAGCTGCAGCCTCTAGAAGATTTATATTGTGTCAATGAAATAAAAAGCTCATTTTCTCCTGATAGGAGAAATAAAATTTAAAAAGACACATTTGACAATAACAAAGTCTGATATTATCCCTGGCTCTCAACAGGAAAGGGGCTTCCCAGATGGCTCAGTGGAAAAAGAATCCACCTGCCAATCCAAGAGTTGCAGGGGACATGGGTTCAAACCCTGGGTCGGGAAGATCCTCTGGAGAAGGAACGGCAACCCACTCCCGTATTCTTGACTGGAGAAGCCCATCTTGGTGTGCTCCAGTCCACAGGGCTGCAGAGAGTCGGACACAACTGAGAGACTGAGCACACATGCCCTGAACAGGAAGAAATAGCATCTGAACACTGTAAACAATCTGAATGCACCCTCATTGGATGAGCCAGTATATAACCAATTCCCTTTCCCCACTATTCTGAAGATTTTTTGCTAAATAATAATGCTCTTCATGGGCTTGTGAGTTCTATGATGCACTTTAAGCAAAGTGTTTGTTTGAAGAAAGACCCTACCATACATGTTTGCCCTGGATCTCAGACCCAGGCAGAGGCCTTTACAAGCCCAAATATCCAGTAATCAATAATTACACAGGGTCTTTGTAGTTGAGGGTAACTTAATTTATGTAATATCTATGAATATTTAATATGAAAAACTATGCAATCTATCCCATGGGATAGAATTAATTTTTGTAAACTTCTGAAAGTGAAAGTGAAGTCCCTCAGTTGTGTCTGACTCTTTGTGACCCCATGGACTGTAGCCTACCAGGCTCCCTGGTCCATGGGATTTTCAAGGCAAGGATACTGGAGTGGGTTGCCATTTCCTTCTCCAGGAGATCTTCCTGACCCAGGGATCAAATCCAGGGCTCCCACATTGTAGGCAGACACTTTACCATCTGAGTTATGTATATTGTGTGTAGACTCAAGAAATTTCCTCTTCCTATATCTTATGAGGTTGAACTATGAGCCTAAAATGTTGTGTTGACATTCTAATGCTCAGGACCTCTGACTGCGACCTTATTTGGAAATTAGGGCTGGGGTGAGTGTAATAGTGAAGACATCATTACTATAGGCCTCAAGCTCTTTAGCACCAGTGGTGTTATAAGAAGAGGAAATTTGGAGTCAGACAAAACTCTTAACAAAGGGAAGACAATATGAAAACAAAGGGAAAAGACAGCCAGGTGACTGAAGTGATATACCTATAAGTCAAAGAATGGTAGGTATGCCCAGCCATTACCAGAAGCAGGAAGAGGCAAGAAAGGACTGTCTCCTAGAGCAGTCTGAGAAAACATGACCCAGAGGACATATTGATATTGGGCCTTCCAGGCAGTAGTACTGTGAGACAATCAATTCCTGGTGTTTTAAATCAGTGCATGGCACTTCGTTATGGCAGCAGTAGCATTAATACATTGTATTTCTGAAACTGTACAAACCCCTGTGTCTTTGTTTTTAAAGTAAAAGACTGACTCAAGAATCAATGATTGATTCATTTTTTGTCAGTTGTTTCATGAGGGCTGTCTTTCCACGTTGCTTATGGTTTCCTTTGTTGTGCCAAAGCTTTTAAGTTTAATTAGGACCCATTTGTCTATTTTTTGTTTTTATTTCCATTACTCTGGGAGGTGGGTCATAGAGGATCTTGCTGTGATTTATGTTGAAGAATGTTCTACCCATGTTTTCCTCTAAGAGTTTTATAGCTTTTTGTCTTACATTTAGGTCTTTCATCCATTTTGAGTTTATTTTTGTGTATGGTGTTAGAAAGTGTTCTAGTTTCATTCTTTTGCATGTAGTTGACCGGTTTTCCCAGCATCCCTCATTGAAGAGAGAAATGTGAAGATGTAGAAACAAAGGCTAGCTATTGGGCTGGGGAACTGGTAACAATTTAGATTATAATTCAACCACATGGCAGAATCACTGAACTCCTATTTCTCTGAAATATATAAAGGCATGGCACACATTGCTAAGATATTTTTACAAGAAGCAGACCCCCTCCAAAGGAAAACTGCTGATCATGAGAACATAGACTCTAGACTGGTTGAAACCAGAAAATTGATGATGCTTGAAACTTCACCTTGATGCCAACCAATCCAAGAATTGCCCATGAGTTGGTCACACTTTGCTCCTTGAACACTATAAAACTCCTCACTATCCCACTCCAGGGTGGGTCACACAGTCTTGAGTACATTAGTCCTCTGTGGCCCCCTTTGCCTGGCAGCACAATAAAAGTTACTCTTTTCTACTTCACCCAAAACCTGTCTCTATGTGTCTATTCAGCACCAGAGAACACAGGCAGAGTTTCAGCAACATTATCAACATCAGCTTCTTTTCATTTCTATGTTTCATCTTTTTCAGATACAAGCATAACCTAGAATGTCCACTGCTTCTTTCAGGAAATGTATTTTAAGGAAAATACATTCTCTCATCATTTCAGTCCACTCAAATCTAGTTTTGTCTATCACTCGACAAAAGTGAATAAAAGCAGCCCTCACCACATCACTTCTATCTTTATTGCTATATCCAGTGAACTTGCTTCAGTAAATAACTCCCATGTCCTCTTGAGCACCATTTCCTTTTCTTTCTTACTAAAGAATAGTAGATTTACAAAATTAACTTCAAATGTACAATATAGAAGTTCAAAATTATTATACTGTGTATGTATAGTTATAGATGCAAAGAACAAATACGTGTTTGCCAGGAAGGAGTGGGGGGAACAGATGAAAAGAAATAGGTGAGGAAGATTGGGAAACCGAAACCTCCAGCTACAAAATAAATGAGTTATAAGCATTAAACATACAGTCCAGGAAATATAGTCAGTAACTGTGTAATATATTTCAAGCTGACATGCCGTAACTGGTCTTATCATGGTGATTAGTTTGAAATCCTTTGTCTTGCAATTAAAGTACTATTCATAAAATAACTTCATTGTCTTTTTAAACATTCATACAAAGCCCAGTCTTCTGTGTGTGTGTGTGTGGCAAGGGACCTTCTGACTAAAAATGTGTGGCTCACTGTGTGAATATTTCACTACCAAATTAGCTTAGCTTGATATTTTCAGTTACTCAGGAAGTTCCAACCTCAAACGGTTGACTGTAGTCTTAGTTCTTTAATGAAAGCTGGAGGTAAAATGCATGATTTAAATATGGTAGAGAAAGATGTTTTCCAACTGTGTGGATTGCAAAACGAGGTAAGAATTTGGGCTGTAGGGAATGAGGGTGGGATTGAGGTGATAAAATAATGCTACTGATAAGACTCTAGTGTCTATATAGGGAAAGTGGTTCACAGGTACAGAGTTTTCAAGGATGAGAGACCTTAAAAGAGTGCTATAATTTATAAAATTGTAAATGTGCTTATAATTTGTATCAGAATAAGCACATATGGAAATTCTTGTTCTAACAGGTAATGAAAGGGAACTATTAAGAGAAAGAGGTAAGAGAATGGAAACAGGTTAAATTTATAACTGATAATGGAATGATTAATTTCACTGAGAAAAATACATACTATAAAGTGTTACACAGATGCAGCATATTATTGTTATGAAATAAAGTATAAAACTTATCATGGAAGCTTACAGGAGAGAAAACATTAAAAGGCAAGTACAAGATATTTGCCATTTTAAAAAAGTGAACAAGTCCAGGTAAAAATTTAGGAGAACATTCAAATAAAATATCTTACATTAGATGCCATATAGAAAGGAA